TCTATCTATCTATCTATCTATCTATCTATCTATCTATCTATCTATCTATCTATCTATCTATCTATCTATCTATCTTGGCGTCCCGTGCGTAATAATTATGTCTTATGAAAGATAGAAATCCGACAGTCTGTAAAAGCAACTGTTCTCTTGTCGTCCACTTCCTCTGTTTGCTGAACGCTTGTTTGTGTTGGCTTTGTCTGGCTGGAAGTGTAAAACGTGTACCTGTATCTATGTTACCGTATATCATTCTACAACTCGTCAGGTTGGTAGATGGAGGATGCTCTGGTGTCGTTTGCTAATTCTTTCCTGTCAAACATCTATCGTCCTTATCTCTCCTATTTCTTTGCTGTGCTTGTTACTCCCTTGTAACACCTCTAATCTACGTCACTTATATGACCTTATTTTGTTGCAACTGCCGTAAACCTTTTACGAAAACAACAACAACAACAACAACAACAACAACAACAACAACAACAACAAAATAAACAAAACAACTCGTCATGTGTTTCGTCAGGACACATGATCATCTGATCGAGAAGAGCCTGGTTATCGATGTGAGTGTGAGACAGCAGAATCGAGATTTTGCTTTGCGGTTGAACTACGGTTTACCATCGGTTAAGAAAAATAAAAGATTGAGTTTAAGAGGAAATGATGGCGATAAACATGGGAAGCAATAAGGCTTTAGGGGGTTCTAAAGCTACGAAATAGTTGTAGGAGAGGATGAAGAAGCTAGATATGCCTATAACTTAAAATCCATAATTTTTAGTCGAATCGGGGCTTTTGTGATGGAGCCCCCTCCCTTAATTTTTATATTGACAAAGAATGATAATTATTTCGTTGGCACTGGTATTCTCTATTATTATGGGGAAACACAACCCTCAATAGTGCATTTTAGACAAAGTTTCCGACTGTCTTATTCTGGGGCCTAAGCACAGCATTTATTATTATGAGCGCATAGTAGGGCCTACTTATGTAGGGGGCCTGCAGCATACACAATACTTTCAAAGATAACCTGAGTATGCTCTAGTTTTTTTGTTGTGATAAAGTGTTTACTGTCTCAAAAAGAATAGACTAAAAAAATAACTAGATAAATAAACAAATAACAAAACCAGCAAGCCAAAACTTTGTCATTGTTTATGATACAGGCACGCGGCCAAGATTTAAAAAACCAACAACAACCCGTCTCGACCACAGAGCCTATCGTCTCTCGTCTCTCGTCGTCACGTGAGTACTGAAGTAGGCCTAATGAGTACTACAAGTGTATTTGTCCCAGAGAATAATAATATGTGAGGCATCGTGGTGAAATCAGGCGCTCGTCAAAATACTGAAATCGGAGAAATCGGAATTTCTTTTGGCCAATTGGCAATGTTTTTCTTATTTTTCTTTTTCTTTTTTTTTTTGGGCTCAACACCTTTTAAGTCCATTTAAAAACACATTTTTGTGTGGGTTTTACTGAAAGACATCGATTGAAGGCCCCAAAAATGTAAATTTTAAGTTTCCACGGACTCTCAGACGGGCTGTACAAATTACCAAACTTTGGCTGCCAATTTTACCTCTGAAACAAGGTGACTCTGACCTCCTTCAATCGCAAACATTTCGACTTATATTCAACATGGATGGATATTTTTCTCACCAAAAGGAAGTCAAATGAAGAGGCTTTGAGATGATGCCATAACCCCATAAGCACAATTGACGAGCGCCAGATTCCACCACGTCGTGACACATAAGCACAATATCCAAAAAAGCAAGAACAGACAGATATAGAAATTCATTCGTACCAACTGCAGTGATGTTACTGAACACACAGTGCTACAGATGAAATAGAGAGAGAGAGAAAGAGAGAGAGAGAGAGAGAGAGAGAGAGAGAGAGAGAGAGAGAGAGAGAGA